ATTTAATGCGCATGGCTCATTAACGCATGTTAATGCAGCTGGACAATCAACATGCTAAAAAGTCAACCCGACACATTCGAAGAAAATCGAGGGGCAGCAGCAGTAACAAAGCAGGGAGGCCGCCCGGCAAGAGCGCAGGCACGGGGGAGTGGGGGGGCCTCCAAATTCCCGCCTCCTTCGCTTTTGCCTGAGGTAGCAGCTTCCTGAATCTGCAAGTGCTTGCAGGAGTGGAGCATGAGATGCGGGAGCCCCACCAATTTCCCGCCCACGTTTCACTGTTCCTCTACTGCCGCAGGGTCCCGGTTCGCCTTCCCGCGCCGCCCAAGGCCTCTCCCAGGTAGCAACGGGCTGCTTTGCTCTGCGATTGAGTTTAGTCCTTTTTAAGTGTTGCTATGGCAACAGTCCTCGCCATCTCCTAGCGCCGTGTGTGTTCATTGGCCGGCAGCTCTTCCTCTCCCCGCCGAAGGGAGCAGCTGTCATCGCGCCTGGCGAAGGGGGCTGCCGCCGCTTGGAACCGCGCCCACGGGCTAGGCAGGGTTCCTGCCCTTTTAGCGGGATTTGCCTGCCTGCCCGGAGCCCCCTCAGAAGCACCGCAGCAGGGCCCGGAAGGCAGCCTGCAGCCCCCTTTCCTCCGGGCGTCCGCCTGAGGCTGGACACGGCGTTCCCGGCTGGCGAGCTCAAGCAAGACGCCATTTCAGCTCGTCTCTCCAGGCCCAGAGGACCCGCCCGTTCCAGGGCCGTGCCGGAGATGTTCATTGCAGGAGCGACACAGAGCCCCGCGCGGGTACGACGTGGGGAGTCCCCCGCAGCAGCTCCTGTCTGGGTACGGAAAGAGGCAGGCCCCTCGCATGGGATCGTGTGATTAGCCTGTCCTGCCTTGCGTAGGCACAAGGGAGCTGAAGGCACCTGCGCAGGCAGCCTCATGTCTGGGCTTTACTAGCCTCCCAGGGCCTGTCTTGGCAAACTCAATAATGGCCCTTTAACTCCGGGTGCTGCGCACGTTCCAGTAGAAATACTGACCCACAAACTCCACCGTGTGATCACAGCGCCGCTCACTTGGGTCCGGAGCGGGGCTGGAGCCGGGACTGCACCACACACAGCCCCTGCCACTTACAGTGTGTCACTGCCGGCCGCCTGCCCTGCTCTGGGACTGCTGAGGACAGGACCCGAAGCAAGGGGCTTACACTGCAGCCAGGGACGTTGAGGTTGGACATTAGGACAAACTTCCTGCCTGTCAGGGGGTGAAACACTGGGATAAATTGCCTGGGGGGTTGTGGAATCTCCATCCCTGGAGATACTGAAGAGCAGGTTGGACACACACCTGGCAGGGATGGGCTAGACGGTGCTGGGTCCTGCCGTGAGGGCCGGGGCCTGGACTCGACCTCTCGAGGGCCGGGCTGGTTGTAGTGGTCTAGGATTCTATCTGTGACCAGCCACCAAGCGGGATGTGAGTCACAAAGACAATTCGTCGGTAGGTTCCATTCCGGGTTCTGGAGGGAAGTGTGTCCTAGTGGTCACACCCTTTCCACTCCTGCTCCCGCCAAATCTGATGCCGCCTTCCCCATTCCAGTAAGTCTGTCCCTCTCCTCGTCCTGTCCCTCCCCTCCCCCCCCCACACACCTTGTCCCTTCTTCCTCAGGGCTTTGTACTGATCCCAGTCCTTTCACCAAGCCAGCCTGGTCTCCTCCAGGCTCCTCACCCCAGGCCCAGTCACCTCGCCGAGCCAGTCCCCTTGCAGTGTCCCCATCTGAGTCTCTG